TTTTATTTTTTTTGCTTTTTTTGCTCATTCTTTGCTTCTTTTTCCCTTCTATTAATTGTTTATCAATTATTTTTATGTGGATATATTGAAGAGTTATGACCACATTGAATAGTTATAATAGTGGAGTAAGGAAGAGTCACACCGTTTATTCAGAAAATTAATAAATAAATAAATAACCCTTATATGTTCAACATTTATGTTTATAATAACTTCCATATATCTTTCCTATTCTACTATTCGTAACCCCAAGAATGTATAAATTTATGACACATTATTGTGTTTTCTCATATTCATTTCATAACTTGCTTGATCAGATTGTCTGTCATCTTCATAAAGTTACAATCCAACAAATGGGTCTCGAAAACTTGGATAGCTAGAGCAGGATCTTATGTTTGTATTTTGCAATGCAGGAACACAGGAGAAGTTATGCATATACACCAGGATAACTATGTAAAAACAGTTATGCAGGATAATTATGTTATCCTGGTACTTTTACGAAAATGTATTGACTATTACAGGTATCATCAAGCTAATCTCTTTAATTTGCTTTTCTTTTCTTTTTATCTAGGTTATCTGTAAGTTTTCTTTAATTTTTATTATTATTAACTATGCAAAGATCTTCATATCGGTTTTCACTTAAATATGAAATTATTAGAGTAATTAGACAATATTTGCATCACATAAGTTTTCTTTTATAAATTATCTGACAAATTTGTTNATAAATTGTCTGGCAAATTTGTTAATTGTTTATCTTTCTTTTTTTTTTGAAGAATTAAGTTATTGAGTTCTAATATGGAGGAAACATCAAATGGATTGTCATGCCTGTGTTTTTAGTAATATTGTTTTAGTCTTCGAGTTATGTTATTCTTGTACTACTTTTTGATGAACAACAACAAATTACTACAGTAACTTGGAAAATATTTTCATCACAATTCTTTTTTTAAAAAGTTGTATGAGATAATAATCTATATGATTGTTTGTTAATAGCTTATCTTTTTCTTCTTCTTTTGTAGAATTAACTATTGATTTATGATATGGAGGAAACTTCAAATGGGCACGCCTGCATATTTTGCAATGCCGCCGTTGAGTTGTATTATTCTTAACATCGTCAATAATTGCTCTCTTTTTCTTTTCAACTTTCCAGGTATTTTAGTAAAAACAGAAAATATGTACTCTTATTTAAGTCATTGGACTGAGTTAAGTTTTTTCCTTCATTCGTGTGGCTTCTGGTTTTTAATTGTGATTAGTCGAATTGACGCACTTTCATCTATTTAATTCACTATTATCAAATCTGAATATAAACACTAGGGATATAAGAATTACTTTTATTACTTTGCAGTTTTATAATTTTATGACTTTATTGTTAAAGAGAAATAGTAAACCACAATATGATTTTATTGTCTTAGTAAAATATGTTTTGTGAATTTGAAATATTTGGGTTTTTATAACCTTGCGCGCGAGCGCGGACTGATTTACTAGTTTGAGATTAAAACTCACTGCTGACTCGACTAATTAAATTGTATCGCGCAAGGCCATTTAAGAGGGAAGACCTCCTTATTTGGAATTTCTTTATTCTCACAATTCAAACCCGAAATCTTTGATTAATGGTGGAGGGATCTCAACCACATTCTTCCGTGGTGGGTCAAAGTGATTATAACTAGTACTTTGTGAGCAACTAAGAGAAAGAGTAGCAACTAAAGCATTAACAAAAGCATTAAGCATCACCTTATCTTAAGCTTGTCCTAATCATAATTAGCAAAAATATTAGTAAAAACTAAGAGCAAAACAGAAAGGACCATGTCAGTTCTACACCTTCGAGCTCGTCCCTTCTGTTTACTACCATTTTATCTTTAAAAATAATACTAATCTGTACTTAACAAAGATTTTATCAAGTAGTGCTACATCACAAAGATTATCTTGCTCTAATTACAAGCCACAAGAATATACCTAAGCTTAACATAACTCCGAAATTGATTTGGTGCCCTGTGATCATACAACATACAACAAGTGGGGCCGGTATCTAGTCAAATATTAATCCAAATTGGAAAAAAGAAATGTCTCCAAATCTACAAGGATTTATGTGATTAGCTATAGATTAGGAAGCATCAGCAAATATTAAATAGAAAAATGAGGACTAGAACCTGAAGTCTAAAGATGGAAGAATAGAGAATTTGGAACACTAGATTTAATTATATATACTGTTGGACGATACAAATTAGGTCTCTTCTTTTGTGGTAATTCATACAGGGACAAAGTGACTTTTTTTAGTAATAAAAAAAAAAAGCTTTTTAGCTGACATGGATCGTGAATATTGAAAGTGAAGGTAAAAGGGTATCAGACTTTTGGCGAGATTAAAACCTCGGATCTAAGGACTCGTCCGTATAAATATTTTTTTTTCTTTTTCTCGAAACTCATTTTCAAAATATTACTCCCACCTTTTCAGATTAGATGAGATATTTTACTTTTTAGTCTATTCCGAAATAAATGACACATTTTTAAATTTGAAAATAATTTAACTTTAAATATTTTATTTTACTCATTACCATAATGAGAAGTTTTTATAACCACACAAATGTTATGGACCCACAAAGTTTTTACCTCTTAAGCTTTTAAGACCACAAGTTCCAAAAGTCTGCTTTTAAGACCACAAATTTCAAAAGTCTTCTTCTGTTTTTCTTAAAAAACGTATCGAGTCAAACTAACTCATCTAAATTAAAACGACGGTAGTATTTGGTTATGCATTAGGCTAAATTTTTGAAAATGAGTTTCAAAATTTGAAGATTAGTTTCAAGTTTGAAAAATTGATTGTACCACTTTTTTAGGTAAATAATATTTTCTCTCGCAAAACTGCAATATTTTTTCGAGTAAAATGCATATATCCAAACATAATTATAAATTCCAACTCCCTTCTAATTGTAATGATAAAGTGACAAATGTTGTTTCTTCTCCCACATATATTTTACTACTTTCTACTAAAAGTGACCCTTTTGGTAAACAATATTTTGCCTTTTATCTTTAAATGGTTGAATCAATGACATTTCATGCTCTATCCTTTCTAATGCCAAACTTGTTGCTTACTAGCTACTCGAGTAAATTTTACATCTTAAATCTGGAGCAATCAACTCAAATATGAAAGGTACTCTGAACCAAATGGGAACCATCTAAACACTAAGATTTTGCTGTACTAGGAATTTATATGATTACTTACAAAATGACTAGTGGTGTTACATTACGAAAAATCAAAAGGACACAATGGGAAAAGGTTACTGATATATGTTGTGGAAGATACAGAATTCTATTTTTCTGCAACATGTTATTTTTCTCATTATTGTACGTACAATCAGCTAATTCTACATATTATGTTGACATCCATTGTCTTCGATCCTCAACAAAACTACACCTCATCATAGTATACGAGGTAGTTGATTTGTACTTTAAATCTCTCCAGAATTCCAACCAAGTGGGACTAGGTAAAAAGCTAAAGCAGGGATTTGGTTTAGTGCACGGAATCTACAGGATTACTGAAGACGGTCAGGCATGGAAGGCATGGAATCACAGAATCCTCCCTTTCCTGAAATTGTTAACTGAACTTTCCAGCAGCAAACATGATTACATGGTTATCAGATCTACAAGTATACCACACTCAATGTTCAAACATGGATCATCATTTAAAGAACAAATCAGATTCCAATAGATGCTATGTCGACTCTAAAGTGATTTAAACATCATGAACTTCCTTAAGCTTAAGACATAGACAAATCAGTCATCAACATAGAAAAAAGGAAAAGAATTTGTAAGCAAAATTCAGACAACAGGAACATCAATTCAAATTTTCATTTATACATTTCCAAGAGACACCATAGATGAGATTTCAACATACCTAAAGCAGGAATCAAAAAGCTGAGACCAAATAAAGGTTAGAAAACTAGAAAGAAATCTTAACAAAACCAGGCAGCAGAAACAGCTCCAAATGCCAGTTAAAATCAGTTTAGAACCCAGAGAAGTCAGCTTCAGTTTTTGAATTACTTTGCTTACAAAATCAATCCCAAATCCTGTTATTTTTCTTCTTTTCAAACTTTTTTTTTTTTTTATGTTTTCTGAAACTTAAAAGGAAGCTAGAATTCAGAAAATTTGCTCTACTGAAGATTGAAAGAATTCTGAGAGTCCCGAGTGAAAATAGTGAGTCCAATATGAGAGTGTATGTGTACTTTAATGCAGAAAAATAAGAGCTATTTTGGGAATATGCCAGCCTTCCCTAAAATTTAGGGAAAAGGCATCTTTACAATAGACCATCCAATATTCCTCCTATTCTTTCCCAGCCCCTTTTACCCCTCTGTATTTACCCAAAATTGACCTAAATTTCCCTGTTTTTACTGCACCCTAGACCTTCTAGACACTTTCTAGCAGTTATATGAAGATTCTTTCAATTTCAAAACTCTTAATTACCCTTTAGGGCTCTACTATTTTCCTTTCAAACCATAACAGAAATCTGGGCCTTAAGACTCAATAGGCCTACCTGTCAAACAAGGCAGGCCCCCAATCCATTTTCAAGACAGGCCATAACCAATATGATTCTGCTAATTAAAACAACCGAATTCAAACAAAGCTATAGAAATTCAAAGATAACCTAAATTAACAAAGAAACGATTAAGATTAAAACCAATTATCTTAAACATCTAAAATCTACCAATCCGTCTCCTAAGAAAAAGGTTAAACCAAAATAGAGATAGCAATTCAGAGTAAGAAACAATAACTCAACCCTAACTTAGGTCATAAAAATCTGAGAAATTGATAAATTCTAAGGCATGCAACGATAATTAATCTAGTTAAGTAAATGTGACCAATCTCATATGAAACCGACTTGAACAAACAGGCATGGATAAACTCTCATGCCACTAAATTAACAATAAGACCTTACATACCACAGAAGGAATTAACAGGTCTAAACATGAAGAAAGAAGAGGATCACCTTTGAAAACAACAAGACCAGGAAATCGCCGGTCGATAGTCGATATCGCAACATGAGCATTGACTCGCACGTATCGGCAGAACTAATGCTACATGTAGCGATATTGATTACCATATTGGGGCGGAGAAACAAGGCAGCGGAGGATTCAAGGCTTTTGATCAAAGATTAGATTATTTTTCCTTTAGGTCTAAGATCTGAAATTCGTGAAGATTGGTCGACTTTCTGTTGAAATTAATGGGAGATTAGGAATTAGGAGGAGTTAGAGAGTGTAAGGTGTGAGTTTGGGGTTATTTGGCCGGTGGCCACCGTGGGCGATTTCCGGCGACGCCAGTGGTGGTGGAACAAAGAAAGGGAGGAGAGAGGTCTGAGAGGTTACTGGGGTTGGGGCATTAGTTACGGACTGTTGGATTGGGAGATATGGAAGGATGAGATCAAACGTGACCAAAACGAGGTCGTTTTGGTTATTTGGTAGGGTGGACTGGCTTTTAAACGGGTTTGGGGCTGGATTAGAGTGAGATACCGAGGGGAATTTGGCAAATGAAATTATTTGTAAAAATTGCACGGGACACCCTATTTGGTCGCCCCCATTTAACCTATACTTATTTTTTTTAAAACTTTTAATTTGTACTCACTTTTTAAATAACTTCAGTCTCCTTTTTTCTTCTTCTTCTTGTCACACCTCCTTTTTCCGCACCCCGCGAAGGGCGTAGGGAGTTTTTTCCAATTAAAGGACAATCGAAACGGGATTTATTTAT